CAGAATTCCCCAGCCAGCATGCTGGCTGGGGAATTCTGGGAGTTGAAGTCCACACATCTTCAAGCTCTCAAGGTTGAGAAACTTTGACTTAGATGTTCTCTGCATGGGTATCCACAGGGTGTGGGGAACAAAATACTGAAATGTTCACAATGTTGTGATGCAGTCTCCACCACTTTAGTACATGGATTGTGATGTCCCATCATATACATGAGGGGAGGAGCTTATGTTGCAACATCACAACATTTGTTGCATTGTTCAGACAAACCTATCAGATTGTACAAAAGCCAGTTTCTTTGCACTGAAATCCTGAACGCATATCCAAGTCTAATTCTCAGCATCCACACTTGGTCTTATCTTTCAGGTTATTGTCAAATTATTACTAACAGGGGATGCACTGATGATGGTCTTTTTATTTCCAAGGCATATTTGACCATTTCTCCCTCTCATTTCTCTTCCCTTACAGGTGGATTTAGAACCTGAAGGGAAAGTATTTATAGCAATAACCCTCTCAGGCAGCTTCACTGAAGGTAAGAGGAATACTGTGCCTTTTCTCTGTGGTCTGGCAGTTGTTATTATTAGTACTTCTACACACCAGAGCATCCCATTAAACTCCAGTTGCAGCAGATGGAAACGTTGAATACAACAGAGGAATGCTGTAACTGCCAAATGGTGTTTTGTTGGAAAGGAGAAGAAGGTTGCACTCGACATCTTCAGTAACCCTTTGGATGGGCTCAGAACGCTGAGCCTTATCCTCGTAATAGGATAGCTGAGACTGAGGAACAGTGGTTGGCCAAGATCACCAAGCAGGTTTATAATTCAGAGGAAGATTTGAACTAGGGACTTGGCTGCTCACATACCTAGCTGTCGGTTTCCCTCTTAGCTGGCCTTTTTGAAACTTCCCAGCAAGCCACATGGTATGGTTAGTTAAGAATCTTTATTGTACCCTAGACTGAAGTCATAGCAACATTTTTGTACAGGTAGTCCCCCAGTTAAGAACGCCTGGTTTACAGACATCCCATAGTTAAGGATGGAGCCTATTGTAGCAAAATCCGAGTTAAATACACAATGATTCGAGTTAAATACACAATGGTTCGAGTTCATTACACAATGCTATTTATACAGTATTATATAACGATACTGTTCTGGCTTACATACAAATTTGACTTAAGGACAGACCGTGGGGACGGAACTCATTCTTCAACTGGGGAGTACCTGTACTGCCAAAACGAGATTGCACTACTGTCGTATACCCTCTTCAGTGCTTCTTTCTCCCACCTTCTCCAGAACTTAACAGACACATTGCATTGTATTTCTCATGCTTCATTCAAAATTGCAATTGAGAGGAGAGCTCCGACATAATTTTTATTTTTCCTTCTATTTTCTATAGTACATCCTGGACAGGAAGGGACAAACTTTTACAAAGAAAAGAAGTAGATAGGCTGGGGTGCTCAAGGACAGCCTGAATGTCATTATTAAAAATAGCTAGAGGTAGTGTTTTTATAAGGAAAAAACCCCCCACAGCTATAATATAGGAATGGCATTGAATTAAAAGATTTTGCCCAAACCATGAATTCTGAATGTGAATCCAACTTTGGGGAAGAGGATTTCTACTTCCATTCTTCTGCATGTGGGAGCCAGTGGGGGAGAGGAAGAAGATATAAACAATGTGTAACCAGAGAAACCTGTATTACAGTCTGGTTTCCCGTGCCATGTAGAAATCTCACTACAGTATGCAACTGTGTCAACCTGGGCTGGGGCCTCTTTGGAACTGGGTTCCTTGGGGAGAATCCAGACTGTTGCAGGAGAAGAAAGTTAGTGACTCAGGAGGGAAGCATTGCAGCTTTGTAAAGGCACAGGAGTAGGTGGTGCTGTTTTCAGTTCATTATAAGCCCAACCTTTCACCATGATTGTTGAAGAAAGCTGTTGAGTTGCTGGTTGAAAATGAATCTTTGTGCATGCCATTCAATTCTATGGGGATTGAAGGGTGTATAAAGAGATTGAGGAGTACTGAGTCATCTCAGTCTTCGACAAGGTTTTGGTTTCAGGCCATTGGCATCCTGGAACAGAAGCTAGTTGTCAATTTAAGCCCAAGATGAACTTGAACCCTGGGAGGATTCAAGATATAAAATAGGGATGCATGAACTGCAGATCCATAGTCTCCCTGCAGGAGCTATTGCTAATTGTAATGTTTATTACGATGGAAGGAAAAAATTACTAAAAAATACGTAAGGAGTAATACAGGAGGAGGAAAGTTAGACCCACGTTTGAAAATGCATGAAGCGGCCAGGGCTCTTGATCTTTCGTTTAGAAGCAAAAATGTGTGGTTGTGTGGTTATTCCAGGAAGGTGCTGCAAAGGAGAAGCAGCCTCTGCAGAAAGAGCTGTGCTGCTTTTGGGGGTAGGAGCTGCTGTTAAAAGAAAGAAAAACAAAACTGGTGTCCTGGTCACCTTGTACATTTTGCAATGTTAGGGGTTGGTTTTTTTAATGAAATGATGAATGCTAGCCATAATTTATTCTTGCTGTCCTTTGACCTGCCATGGGTCTGTTGGGAACAAAGTCTCAAATTTGCTCTCTTCTGAATTTGTAGGGAAATTCTTTACATCCCTAGTAAAAAAATAGAAATGGAAGACCAGACTATGTCAAGAACAGAATACATCACTAAAAAAAAAAAAAAGGAAAAAGGAAAAAGGGAATATAGTTTGCATGAAATTTGCCTGTACAAGTTTGTATGTATGGGTACCAAATGAGAAATCATTATTATTATGGAACAGAAATACAGACATCTTGCTCTGGTGGGGGAAAGGCTGCAAGTCAGGGTTGTCATCTTCAGTTTCATTCTGTAGATGGGCGATGCTGAAATCCAGACTTGTATCTGTCAGCTTTTCAAATAAAGAATAACACTTTAGAAGTAGGATGGTGGCCACCACAGAATAAAGTTGACTCTAAGTGACTGGGTTTTAACCAGAAGCCTAATTATTTCCTTCCGCTTCCTCTATAAATTCACCTATAAAACAATAAATGGATTCCAGGCACTTCAGTGTGGAAAAAGTAATAGGGTGAACCTGGAGACATTGGCAATAAGCAAAATTTGTCCTTGTTCCTAGCCTGGATGGCTTGGCGTCAACCCCCACCAACAGGGATCTTGCTGGCTAATTTGGTGTGCTGCTTGTGAGTACAGGACAGCGATGTGCAAGTTCTTGCAGGATTCCCTAAACACATCCATATATATCAGATCTCCTAAGGATGGGCATGTCAGCCCTTCCAGGTAGGCCAGATCAAGAAGCAGACACTGCAGGGATTCTAGGAATGCTACTTTATTGTTGTAGGGTATATGAGCAGTATCTTGAAAACCTGTCCAAGTTGCTCTCTGTTCCATCTTATACCAAACAAAATCAAGGCGGGGTTATTTTGAGTTTTTTTTCTCATACTTCCTTCTCTCTTTGAACTATGCAATTTCTTCTCCAAACCCTCATAATGGCTCACTCTTTCCTTTCCCCCTTGACAGATTTCTTGTTCCATCCCAAAGATCAACTCCAAATTCCTTCACAGGGCATTATTGTCAATAAGAACAGTGGTTGCCCTTCACATCCTTCGCCAGGAATGGTCTGCAGCATTAATTAGATTCTGCTGTTGCTGAAACTTGCTCATGTTCATTGTCCTAGCCCTGGTCTTTTGGAATTTAATAGGGCCTTTTTAAATGAGGGCAATTGCCCTGGGCCTCCCACGTGGTGGTGGCCTGTCTGAAGTATAAGTCAGCATCAGATGGATCAAAAATTTTCATTCAACGAATCAGACAAAATATAATGGCAAATTATTTCAATATTTGTGGTTTCCAACCCTTACTAGGCTGTTATTTTCAATGACAAAGTTAATGGAGGAAAAAAAAAATCAAGATAGGATGTGTCAAGAAGAAAGTGGGGGGTGGTGGTGAGTGTTCAAGTGAATGATATGTCCCCAAGCCTCTCAGTGTCTTGGAAAGGTTCTGGGGCACCCAGTGCCAGTCTAAGTTCTTCAGCACCTGACTGTTCCTAGGGTGTCTCCTTTGTGGGGTTGCTGTGTATGATTTGGAGAGAGAGAAAACATTTCTCTTTCCTTCTAAAGAGAAGTGGAGTGCAAATTAAGTCACTGGACAGAAGGCCTTGAAGCCACATCAAGCACGTAAACCATGTGACCGTGTGGAAATAGGAAGTACGCACCATGTGGATGTTAAATAGCTGGTTTGAAGAACTGGAAGAAATTAATAATAGGATGTTTTTAAAAAAGAAAAAAGATCCAGGAATAGTTTTTTTTTTTAATTATTCCAGAGACTGGTTGAGTTTATTTCGTCAATAACAAAATTAACATAAGTCAAGATTTTTTTTAAATCAAGGAGACCCCTAATGAATATAATATAAAATATTTTGCATTTTTCTGTAGTATATTTGAATATTCAAAACACTTTACATGTAATAAAGATTGGAATTACTACTTCCTGAACTAAGGGGACCTTGCTGAGGCTTAGAGGAAGTGGCTTTGTCAATGGTGATCTAAGGCATTTTCGCACAGAAAAGAGTAAAACTGGCTCTTTATTGATTCATAATGCATCATGCCTATACTTAACAAGCTACTCATTTTGAGGAGGTGTGAGACCGAAGGAAAAGGCTATTAAAAATAAGATTATCTAGAAGGAGCAGACTAAAGGAAAGTCCGTGCAGTCTGGTGGGAACCCTGTTTTAGAATTTGCTAGCAGGTTAGCAGGGAGAAAGAAGTGGTGGCTACAGGAAACAGGATGTTGCAAAATAATGGAGGAAGCTAAAGATAAATTGCTTTGGGATAAACATGGGTGGAAAATTAAAGGAAAACAGCAATAGAGAAGTCATAACATTTGAATGACAGGCAGCAATTTATTCACTTGTTTAACTGCTCTCTTTGGGTGCCCAGGAACACTCCAGAGGGACAGGATCTTTAAAAACTTCACACGGAAACGCCAAAGGGCCATGCGCAGGAGAGTTCATCAAATCAACGGACACAAGTTTATGGCGACTTATTTGCGGCAACCTACATACTGCTCACACTGTCGGGAATTTATCTGGTATGCTTGAAATGAAAACAGGCCTGGATGAGAGCTTTCACCCAGGAAGTTGCTTCCATAACACCCTCCCCTCCTTTGCTAAGCATAAAGTTCCCTTTGAGTTGACCTCAACTCCTTGTGACTTTGTGGATACATCCATGTGGTTTCCCTGGCCACCGTACAGAAGTGATTTGCAATTGCCTTCTTCCAGGACGTGTGGTTACACCCTAGCTTAGTTTACAGCCCTGGCATTCCATGGAGTTCTCCCTTCAGGTACTAGCCAGGCCTGATCCTGCTTAATTTCTGAGCCCAGGTATTCAAAGCCAGGTGCTGCCACCTGCTGAGTTCAGCATGAACAGACAAAGCCCTAAACAAGTCAAGAGCAGGTTACCCGAAACAATAATTCTTCAGATCAAAAAGAGAGGCTACAAGGGAAGCAATGACTGACTTAAGTTATGATACTTTCATTGAAAGTGGCTTTCATAAAAGCTATGCAAATTATCAAATCTGCATCGGTAGAGTTGGAGGTAGTTTCCTATATGGGTGGAAGCAATGGAATCACTGTGGTAGAACATGATCTAAAGTTCAGAGTTCAACCCCAGAAAGTTGTAATTTTCATTAAAAAAAAAAAAGCAAACTCCTATAATTAAGATGATAGATATTATTCTCATCCTGTGGTTTTATTACTACCATTGTTTTTTTTTAAAGAAGCAATAATGTATAAAACAATTTTGGTTGGAGCAAACAAGTCAAGCCACTAATTTCACAATTGATAACTGTGTAGAATTAGCCATGGAGAGTCAGGAGCTTTAAACCCCTTTTCTCCCCATGGCATTCTCAGTCTAGATCAGTGTTTCTCAACCTTGGCAACTTTAAGATGTCTGGACTTCAACTCCCAGAATTCCCCAGCCAGCACTCCCCAGCATTCCCCATGCTGGCTGGGGAAT